GAACTGACAGGACCAAGCTGTTAAATCACTTTACTTTTGTTTGGATGGAAAATTTTGATGAGCTCCAGATTTTTCTGAGCCTTCCAAACTGGGATTTAGCTTTTCCAAGTCTGTTGATAATGTCCTCATCAGATACTCCCTTTGTTGTTATCACGCTTCCAAGGTAAGTAAATGTTTGTATACATCCTCCGGGTCTTGCCCATCAATCCTGACTGGCTCTATCATGTCAGAGTTGAGTCTCATCACTTTGGTTTTCTCAATGTTTATTCTGAGGCCAGCTTGACTACCAACTTTATTTAGTATTTGTGTCTTTTTTTGGATGTCCCGAAAAATTGAGGAAAGTAGAGCAAGATCATCTGCGAAGTCTTCAAGTTTTGTTGTGAAATTGTTGGGAAATTCCACCTTATTCCTGTTGGCTCTGTTTCTGTAGTTCTTCTCATTATGAAATCTATAACCAACAAAAATAGGAATCCAGGCATTGTGCAACCCTGCTTCACTCCTGTTGTTACCCGGAACCAGTCAGATTCTTCTCCATCTTCTAGGACTGCACATTGGAATGATTCATATAGGAGTTTCATCATTCTATCCAGTTTATCTGGGATGCCATAAAACTTCATGATAGATCAAAGGCTCTCTCTATGAATGGAATCAAATGCCTTTTCAAAATCAACGTAGTTTACAAGCAGTACTGAGTTCCATTCGGTGCATTATTCTATGATGTTACGGAATGTAAATAGTTGTTCTGTTGTACTCCTCCCTCTTCTAGAGCCAGCTTGTTCCTCACTCAGCTTCTTTTCCACTCCGTCTTGGATCCTTTGTATCACTATTCTGGAGAATTCTTTGTTTGGCACGGACAAAAGTGTGATACCTCTATAATTATCACATACCGGTCTATCACCTTTCTTTGGAATCTTAACTATCAGGCCTTTACTCCAAATCGATTTTATGGTTTCTTGCTTCCAAATTGCTGTGAAGAGTTTTTCCAAATATTTTGCTGTTGCCTCTGCTTTTCACATCTCAGCTGTTATCCCATCAACTCCTCCAGATTTTCCATTCTTTAGTTTCTTTATAGCCTTGATGATTTCTTCTTTCCGTATGGGGCTTATATCTATCTCATCTGCTACTTGTCCTTCGTTTTCAACTTCTAATGGGTGTTCCGGTTGTGGGCGGTTAAATATTTCTTGAAAATGTTCTCTCCACCTTTTCTTTCTTTCATCTTGGCTGCTCAGGATCTTGCCTTCTTTGTCCTTTGTTGCTGTTGTCATGCTTTTCTTCTCATTAAATTACTTAGTGCTCTAGTTATCTCATACACTGTTTTCATGTGTCCATTACTGGCTGCTCTTTCTGCTTCCGTAATCAAGTCTTCTGTCCACTTTCTCCTGTCATTTCTCATGCTACGTTTACTGTATACCTCTCTGCCTTTTATTGAATATATGTTTCTTAAGCTTCTTTTTAACCTTTCTGATTTGCTGTTGGTAAGTTGGAGTTTTAGCTGATTCCTTTCTTCTACCACCTTCCAAGAGTCTCTGGCTGCTGGATTTTGTCCCTTTTCTTTTACTCCAAGTATGCTGTCTGCTGTCTCGTTGTAACCTTTTATGATACTTTTCCAGATGTCTTCAACACTTTCCAATTCTTCTAGCACTTGGAATCTTTTTTTTCAGCCCCATCATGAATGCCCTCCTTTTCTTTAGCTGTTGTAGTTTAGTGACATAATAGAGGTCACAATAGTTCCTGGGAATATGAAAATCTTTTAAAAATTTTCTGAAGAACAGCACGGCCTAAGTAACTCGGGTGAGGGTTGTAGCTCATAGGCCTCTTTTTTTATTTTTGTGTAAACTTTCACTGCATGTGTGGTGCAAAGTCTAATAAGTTCACTGCTTAAGGACAGATGATACAAACGAAAAAAATGGATGCCTGGATTGGTATATATTTTTTGACCTATTTTGGTTCTACATGATTAGAATATTAAATTTCTAAAATATTAAGAAATTGTAAACTTTTCTACGATGTTCAAAAGTCCACCTTTTTGCAACAATCCTTATTAATCTATACAAATTTTTGTCACTTTAAATCCAATTATTGTGAAATTTTATAAAGAAAAATAAAAATCTATGCGGTTAAACTTATTCAATTTACTTATATAAACATGACTTTAGTTGTTATTTTCAAGATTTTTGATAAAAATTTGTTTGTATCATCTGTCCTTAAAGGTGTGTGCTTTCCGTCTTCCGACTCGGGATAAAAAATGGTCAGAAAGGAAGAAAAATATCAGAAGTTTCCAGAATCGTTGCTTAATTTTCAAAATTTGCTGAAATTGAAGTCATTTAAAAAATCAAATAGTCGTTGACATGTCTGAACGGAATGAGAAAATTCCGAAATGAATAAAAGAAATCTCCGGAAGGTTTTGAGTCAAACTAGCCATTTTTGGTCAGTCGGTCAGGAGATGGCAAGCAAAATTCTTTAAAGATTGCCTTATAGGTTCGTATTCATTTATTTTTCATTCTGCATTTCTAATTTCCACAACAGAGTGAATAGCGTGGGGTTGGGTGGGGTTGTTAGACAATCGATCATAGTTTATCTCCAGTCAAGGGTACACAGAGAGGCATGAATAAGATTCAATAGTGTAGACAAAGGTAAACAACTGATAAAGACGTACTGTGATCTATTATCCGGTATTAGACAAAATAAAATAAAATTGCAAAAAATATTTGTATACATACAGAGTAGGTAAAATATGTAGATGTTAAATGATTTAGAGAGGTTGTTTCCAATATCAATATCTAAAGATGTAATTGTACAGCAATTACCCGCGTAAGCGGGTTATGTGAATTTTTCTGCAATAGCTGCGACGTTATTACTAATACGCTCTATTTCCATTAGTGAACTCTTCAAAATTAGAGGCGCGTTTTGTCGTCTGACTGGGACAGCATGGCGTTGCGAATAATACAAAACATGCCAATCTCAATGCAATTTTAAATGTTAAGTGTATTTATCATTCCAATTAAAAAATAGAAGAACTAAAAGACATATGTAAGAGAGCGAGAACCCTAAATTTATCATCCATCAATAAAAATACGACATTTCCGAGGCATGTGTATTGTATTTAGATGTACCATACGATAAATAGACACATACGATCAACAATAGATATAAAAATTGATATCGTTGTCATTCCCACTCTTGATGTATATAAAGTCCACAACAATAAAATATATCATTTGCATTTTACTAGGAATTTTTCATCGACATTCAACATATTGTTTACAATTGTTTGTTACGTTTGTCCCAGAAATCCCGTGAGATTTGTACATTTTCCGACTTTTTCACAAAAGAGCGCACTAAGAAGTATAACTCTTCCATAGTGGAAATAGAACGTATTCCCGTACTTACGAATAAAAGACATTTTATTGTTTATATTTATATTTCAAAAAAAAAAACAAAAACAAAAAAACCAACAAAAAAAAAAAAAAAACACTCAAAGTAAATTAAGGAGGAGAAGGACCTTGAGCTGAAAAAATACTTGTCATTCAATTTTTTTCATATTTTGTATATTTCTTATTAAGTATGTCCCACATATCTTAAAGCAGTTATATCATTAACTTTCTTACCTTATTTTGGAGATATTGATTGACAAATTCTACACGTGCACCCTACCGTATCTAAGTGGAGTTTTAATTCTCTATGTTTCCGGTCTCATTACTCTGTCCATAATTAGATTTTTTAATCATATATAAAAAATATCAAAGTGGACATGTATCTTTTGAATTATTTCAGAGTATAACTAAGATTTAAAATTCAAAAAAGCAAGTTTTGTCTATCACACTGCATCTGGATAGGGAAAATTACGCACTTTTTAAGACAACTTAAACAATAAAAAACGTAATTTACAAAAAATTCTATCATTCAATATTTTTTAATTTACGTTGAAATGCAAATCCTTCAAATTATTGATTAACTGTAAAAATTTCGAATGATGAAGCTGACCTCATTATTTCACAGGACATCGTTAAAGAGGACATAAGCATGACAAAAACGTGTCATGTTACATTTCTCGAGTACGGGAAAAACCAACTATGACGTCACACGTAAGCTAAATAAGCGAAATAAGATATACCTACATGATTTCTGTCATCAGCCATGCAAAAATAATTTTTGTGTTCCCCGTTTCTCAAAATATTTCATCAGATACTGATTATGACCTGTTTCTACATAATAATACCGCCCGTGTTCACTGAGTATGATCTTGTTGTACTAACAGATCGTGTATGACGTCACCGACTTGTTGGACTCGCAGTTTAGGGAAACAGAGGAGTGGATCAATCTTTTTCATAATTTGTTAATCTTTACAAGAATGTTAAAACTTTTTTATTTTTTTTTTTATATAAAATGGTAATTAAAGTTAAAAAATTGTCAAAGACTTATACAAGAATTGATGGTTTACACGTTTTGCACTTATATAAACGGAGACTATGACGTAGTTAAACAGAGTCATGTGACCATGTGTCCTTCATCCCCTTAAATAAGAAAAAATCCTGAGCGTTGATAATTTAGCGTTTTACGTATCTATTTTAACTGATTTGGAGCTAATTAAAACTGAGATAGCGGGAGTAATTGGCCAGTTTGTGAAGTGTTTATTGCTGTTTAAACACCATGTAGTCTCCAACCTGTGTTTACATAGTCATTTGCATCTTGTAGAACTTTCTTGTATACAGTGAAGTCAAATGAATCGGTCTGGATACTTATTTTATTTTATACACTTTAAAAACTAACTTAAGGATTGAAAATGTACCCCTACCTTATGAATGATTTATTGAGTAAGGGGGTATTTTTTATATAAGAAGAATAAGTATCGTTAGGTGATTGTATTATTATACCATTTTCGTTTTTTCAGAAACCAGTGGCTATTATGGTATTAACTGAAGCATATATATATATATACAACAAAAATTCCCTAATTTAAAATTTCCCGCCTTTTACTTTCGATTTTCAATGTGCGGAGGTACAAAAGGCTTACAACATGTCAGCCTTTGGCAGTTTGGCCTTGTCGTCAGTCTCTGTTGTAAAGTGACAAAAATGTAAACAAGAAGCCCGAGGGTGGAATGTGAGAAAAACAACAATGGTAGACAGGACAAGTTTGACGCTTTTTGCATTCGGAATTTTCTTTGGATTCAGTGTTACCTATTTGTATTCCTTCTACAGTCGTGTGAACATTAATCATTCACCGAAACAGAAATCCAACCCAGGGTTTATTTTTGGAGGTTTTTTCCCCCAAAGTCCTCACAGTCATGGAGAGAATGATAACGTAGCCGGTCCCAATCAGATTATTGAATGGGCGGATCAGCAATTCAGCACTCACTCAGGTAATGGTTCTCTGTAAATTACGACTGTTTATCAGATTTGTGTAAAGGCGGATCATAGATTTTCCGGTGTGTTTAAAGGTACAGTGTACGTGTATTTCTGATAAGGCTTCGCTTGACCTTACCAAACAGGACCTATCTCTGCAGGGAAACTCTGGTGGTGATAACAGTCAGATAAATTTGAAAAGGTTTTAACATGTTTAAGGCATTGATTTTCCATGAATTTCACAGATTGAAGCATCACTGTTAATTGCTCCCTTTTTGGTACGTCAGGGTCTTGATCATGTTGATGTACCCTTTCAATTAAGAATTTTAAAGTGGAAAAATGTAAAGTTACAAAAATTAGAAATATTGATGAATCAAGATAGTTAAATTGTAGAATTATCCTCTACAAGGGACTTGCATGTATATAGCATATAGACCCCTGTCCTCAGAACAGGGACCTATATAGCTATATGCCATATACATGACCTCTTCATACATCTTTTAGATCTTTATCTAATCTCCAAAGTCAAAATTATTGAAAAGTATCTGAAAATTTCGATGTACTTGTCATTTGGGATATTGTACTTTAATTTTGGAAAAAAATAGAGTCAATTTTCAATTGACCTTACCTTACTTGCATCACAGGTGCTTGAGGACAGGACCCCCCCCCCCCCCCCATCGATATAGACCCCCGGGCCTTTTCTCTCATAAATTATCTTTCATTAACATATTTGTGATATAATCTATACCAACAATTCGAAAAATTACCTAAAACAAACATTTTATAAAATCTACCCCACTCTCTATATCTAAAAATCAGCAACAAATATTAAACCCTGGGTCCCCAGGTTCGATTTCCAGTCCTGCCATACATTTTATCCTATCCTGTTACATAATTTGGTGCTGTTGACCACCCCTTGACTTGCAGGTGAAAGTCCTGCCATGGGCAAAATGAACTTGGGTTGTGTAAGACTTCGAGGGTGAAAACAATTTAAGGAGGGAAGAATGTAATGGTTTGGGCCGTGGATATCTGCCTGAATAGCTATATTGGTAGAGCACCTGAATAGAGATGCAGGGGTCCCAGGTTTAATTTTCAGTCCAGCCACACATTTTCTCCTTTCCTGTTACCATTATAAAACTTTAAATACCTTTTTTCCCTATATGTTTAAACCTGTGAATGTAGTACTATATTCTTGTCTCTGCAATACTATTTATCCAATTTTTGTGTTGTTTATCATGAAAAAAAAATAGCCTCTGACAGTCATGTTGCTCTAAGCATACAAGATACTATCAGTCTATCACTACATGTATTACTTGTTTGTGATCTTTTTCCTTTTAAATATTTTCATCATCAAAATTCCAATTTTTCTTGTAATTTTAATTTTTAGACAATTTTTATGATAACCTAATATGTTTTATACAGAGAATAAGTATGCTAGAACCAATGATTAATCTTTTTCTTCCTAGCAAATTAAGATTTTTATTTAACATGTTTAAAGTACTACTTAATATATTAAAAGTCTGTATATTTAAATTTAGAGTAGGTAAGCAGATGAGTCTTTCAATCTTAATAAAATCATTCAGTTGTTTGTTTGACTCTGCATGTTTAACATGTGCGTACTACGCCTCGTGTAGTGACAATAAAGAAAAAAGGGAGGAATAGATTAAGGATCTGATTTTAATCAGATTACTGAGTTTTTGTATTCATCATTAAGTAAGTAACAATAAAAATATTAAGGTAAAACCTTTAGAAGGAGTGGATAATTCAAATTATTCATCACACATTGATTAACCTTCAGAAGAGATAGGTCATATATGTTAAACGTGTTCAGTAGGAAGGAGGATATGGTATGAGAGGAGGTCGTGGGGGGGGGGGGGGTGAGTTCTATGTTGGGCCATTTTGAAATTTTTTTAGTTTAATTTGATGTACTCCTGCCCACATTTTTCAAGTTGGGCAGGTAGGTTTTTTAAAATTATTTTTAAAACACATTGATAATCCATCCGGAACACCTCGGGCCTTTCACAGTGAAAGGCCCGAGGTGTTCCGGATGATTGATAATCGTCATCAAAATCACAGACTTAGAAATTTAATGATCTATACTAAATGGTTGGGACAGTAGACAGATTTAATATTTGTTGCTAAAACAGCTAGGGCTTAATTGACCCTCTTTGGTACAGTGTCCTGTACCCTTTCATTTGGGAATTTTAAATTGAGAAAGTGGTAAAATTTGGAAATTATATTGATGACTTGCATTAATATGTTTAATTGTTGATTAAAGAGTTAGATTGTAGGTTTATTCCCTATTTACCATCTTTATGAATTAGGAATTTCAAAATTCAAGTTATTTTTGTATAAAGATACATGTACTGATAAAAAAAAAAATGTGTAGGGGGGATTTTGATGGGTCCGTTGGAGTACATCAGACAAATCAATTTTTAAGCGCTAAGCACAGCGCAAAGCGCTTACTGGCATCTTAATACTACTTCCGTTCGCGATCCAGCGCCACTAATTTAAGCAAGTTAGATAACTCCACTGAATCTTCTAAAAATATGCAACTGGAAATCCCCGACTCTCTTCGGCTATTTTCGTCAAGTACTGCGTTACGTGCAGTTCTAATTATAGGTGTCAAATAGTGAGACAGAGAGTAGTACAATCCGCTCTTAGTGGATAAGGGCGGTTCTTATCTCTTTACATTACAAATCGTAAATTTATAAATCGCTTATGAATATGAGAAAAAAAATGAAATATGCTAAACACAATTCAGACAAAATATTTAGTTGTTTTAAAGATCTTTTATTCATAATTTTAATAAATATGTTATCAATAAGGAATTTTTTATCGAAGCAATAAAAAAATAATGTCTTATTTTTTCCGAGTGCACTTTAATTTTCAACAAATAAAATCACAGTCAACAACAGCAAATCTTCAATCTGAAACACGCGTGAACACGGAATGAATTTATTAATAAAAATTATCACCAGAACATTTTTAGCTTTCAATGTTGCTCATTTAATAAGAGGAATATCAAAGACATTTTCAAGTGTTCAAAATTGGTTAAAATATACATTTTCCAGCAAATGTATAGCTATATGTATAGTCTGAATTTTGTCGGAAAACTCGTCGACCCCCCCCCCTCCTTTTTCCAATTGCTTCCGATTTATATATATGCAAAGCTACATTTTATGGACTCCTAAGGCGATGGAGAAGTGTAGTATTGAATATAATTAAGTGTAAACCGAGGAACTCCAGGAATCCCAGATGACGAGTGTCGAACCTCGAATCTTTTTACATACAGAAATAATATATATAATTTTAAAAGTCCTAATTTCAGCGACTTTTTTATTTTAATGTATTCAGACAAACCTAGGAAAACACATAATACAAAAAATACACAATCCTGAAACCAAGCGCCTATGATTGAAAACACCGCAAATCCATTCCTGTGGGCTTTTTAAAAGCTTATTAAATACTTTTTTAAAGACACAAGAGAAAGAAGTGCTGGTGAAATATTTTGCCTTACATTTGGTGAACCACGTTAAAAAATTTAAGAGAAATTATATGTTATGCCTTATTATATTTTTATAGATACTCTACTGATACGAAGTATTGTGGCTAAGCCATTTTAATTTGAAGTTAAGCAAATTAGGATTGGAACTTGAATTTTCTATAAACTTGCTTTTTGTGTGTGCGTATGTGTGTAATGTCTTTTCGAGAATTTTTCACTCATACAGAGACTACACCACTTGGCTGTAGAGGGCAGCAAATTTAGACCTATGCTCGGCACTTACGGCCTTTGAGCAGTGAGGTATCTTTTACGTACCAGCACCTACTGCGACACGGAACCTCGGTTTGTACGGTCTCATCCAAAGGACCGGTCTCCACGTCCCACAGTGGGATTCGAACCTGCGAAATAAGGATAAATTTGCATAATTGTAATGATGTAAAAGAAAAAGAAAACTAGAAGCGATTGCTGCTCATAACTGCAAACAAGCTCTCAAAGTAACACCGGGGCGAAGAGTAAATTCGGACTGTGCACATTGCTCCAAATGAACATTTTTCCCTAATAACTTCCGGAAATGCAATTTAACATAAATAAACATTTTTTCCATAACTGCGGTATTGCTCTTTCCTGTGATAAACAAAGTAAACTTCAAAAATAAAAAAAAGTAACTGACTTGCTTTAATGAATTCGTATAATAAATTTCACTCTCTTTGTTAAATAACGATACATGTATAACGACGTCATGTGATGCCACAGACTCGAACCTTCAAATCTAACCTTGTGTGTTTTAAAGAGGCGGATACAAGTTTTATTTTAAAGTGAATATGTATCAAAAGCTGTGCTCGCCCCAGCGGTTGCACTGTTAACATATTACTTATTCCAATACAACAGGCAATTTAAATTCAAAATAAATCTGATGAGTTTCAAATTTGCAAACATTGCTTAGCGCTTCCCAGTACTTTCAGTACTTTGATTATTGTTGGCCTTGATCGAATGTCATTGTTGTTTTGGATGAAGTAATATTGTATGTAATGCAAACTGTTCATGTTTGCTTGCACTGAAACACTCTCTGTTCATTCAGATGCTTAATCATTTCACAAAGTATTCTATTAATTAAAATTTATTGATTGAAATATTATACATTTATCATCACAGAAAGCCAAACAACAAATCAACAAAACTGGGAAGAATTGAGTCTTCTTAGATAACAAAATCGTATTATACCTTAATAAATGCAGCACATGTTTTGTGGGTGAATATTACATAATTAATCTTTAGTATCTATAGATCTATCCTTTTTTTCTTGTGCTGAGGCATATGTGCATATTTTATTGTGCTATAAAACTTCATTTCTAACAGCAGAAAGGCAAACAACTTTGAATAATGGTTGCTATAAAGATATTAATGGACACCATATGTGCCATGTGTATAAATCAACCAAAGTAATTAATGTTTAAGACTTCATCAGAGACCCAAAGATATCCATGTATCATCAAAATTTTGTGAAAATTGTTTAAAAATGTACAGTGTATGAATGATGGTGTTTTACATTTGTATCAAAAGTGACATGTCTCTCATTTCACTTCTGGTATTTATTATAGTATTTTTAAGAATTTTTCATGTCGTTCATTAATTATTTATATCCTAAGTACATTTCGTGTGTCAGAGGAATGAAGTCTTCAAACATGTTAAAAATATGAAAGCCGAAAAGGGAGCGGTTTTTTACCGGTGATATCTTAATTCAATATCATAAATCCATTTGGTATATATGTATGTGAAATAGACATTGGCTGGTAAAATTTTGATCATGATAAAATGCAAGAAAAATCAATTAATATGATGTTTTTCAAAAATAAGATTTACATGAGATGTGATTGTATAATTATATTGACAAGAAAAGTTGAGTGCCCAATTGATGCTTCATGTATGGGGCTTAATTTAAATGCATGTATGATATATTGCCATCTTTCTAACAAAGTAATACTTAGTCGTTATCATGATTATGATGTTGATGCCTTTGATCTAGTAAAGTACTTCCAACATGTTCACTGTTTTTCCTTACAGAAGAGCTATCTGAAGTGGCACGTGTCTTGGAAAAGAAAGTCCGAGTTTTGTGTTGGGTGATGACCAACCCTACAAACCATAATAGTAAAGCTCGCCATGTCAAAGCAACCTGGGGCAAGCGCTGCAACAAACTGCTGTTCATGAGTTCTTCTGCTGATTCCTCGCTGCCGGCTGTTGCTCTGAAAGTGGAAGAGGGTCGTAACAATCTCTGGGCCAAAACCAAAGCTGCCTTTAAATATATTTATCAAAATCATTTTAATGATGCAGACTGGTTTATGAAAGCAGATGATGATACCTATGTAATTGTGGAAAACCTTAGGTAAAAAATTTTAATGCACGTTGTACAAAGTTTTAGTGTTTCATGTCAATAACTTTTCTCCTTTAACCATGTTAACAGCATTTAATCCTTTTTTCCCTTAAAAACCCGGACTTTTGCAACCTGCATTAAACATTGATGGGTTCTATTATTTTAAATCCTTATGCAAAAGGATTTGTCAGTTGAATATAAAGCAAGAGAAAATATTTCTTTTCTCTCACCTCCAGATATTCCTTCAATTGATTACCTTCTGCTTAAGTGGACTTCCATTGTTATGCATTCATTAATAATCTTGTCGGAGAAGCTTATAGCTAAACTCTTTATAACTGACCATGTTATCATAAAATTAATGTGTCTTCTAGTGAAAGAACAGTAGCTGATCAAAAGACCATACTAGAGTTTGTGTTTGGACTTTTAAATATATTAAAACTAGGGACACAGGTATTCAGTTTACCTGCTATGTTTGTATGCTTAGGTGATAGGTAATAAAAATATTCCAGTTATATAGAAAACTTCTGATAAGACAAGCTACTCCTGTGGTAGTAAACAACATGAACAAACCAAATATTTAAAGAAATTTTAGGTACATGTACATATATATATACTACATATGTACATGTTTTAGTTTTTCTCTCAGCAACAGGAAATTTACTGTACATGTGTACAAATGCTTGTATCTTACGTAAAAGTTTATTATCATGATTATGAAAGGTACTTAAGAACAGGATGTTTTAAGTGTTCACATGTACTTATGTACGTGTTTTACTATTAAAAGAACTAAAATAAATACTCATTTAAAACCATTCTGCATAGTTGAATGAATTAAAACAATTCAACAGGTAATATAATGTATAATCCTAAATTTGGGATAAAAATGAGAATATCATATTCAATTTAGAACTTGATTCTTTTATTTTAAATTTGGGATAAAGTGTGACAATTTCCAGTATTGGAAGTAGAATATCAGGTTCTTTTCCACAACAATTTCGAGTACATTACGTCCTGTATAATATCATATGATAAAATTTGCCAACTGTAATTAAAAGATCTGTATATATTTCAAATCTTGTATGTACATGTATGCGAGCATGGTCCCTTGTGAATAAATATTTATTTGTTATTTAATTCTTATATCCCAATGCAGATACATTGTTTTTTAAGAGATTTGCCTTATCTTCATGATCTTACTTGGTGCTATATATAAATATGTAATATTGTTTCAAGGCATAAATAATTGAGCACCTGTGTGATATTAAATGATGAATTGCATGACCTTGAAACATCTAGGAGATAATTATAGCAATTTATTTGATGAATCCAATTAATGACTTTAAACAACGTAGTTCATAATGAAGATACTAGGGAAATTGATTGATTATATTGCTGAAATAGAAATCATAAATTAATGAGAAAAAAAATGTACCATTGGTATTAGAATGATCTGCATTTTCAAATAAGACAGCTAGCTTTCTTTTATCATCATTATTTTAATTAACTAGTCATGTATGGGACTTACTGTTTCATAAATTAATCAGCAAAGTGAAGAATTTAACATCTTTTTTGTAACACGTCAAGAATTTATTTAACACAGGCTGTAAAATAATGTCTTTGCCCATATGCATATAAGTGAAAATTTAAAAATAATAACTTTCATATCTTGTGATCTTAAAAAAACGTGTGAAGAAAAGGTGAGCTTAATTCTAATCTTTGATAAGAATCTACCTATGTTTATATGTTTTCCATAACTACCTAATACTAAAAAATCTCAAATTTTGAGTGGCCTATTTCAATTATGGTGTAATAATTTAATTCTGATTGTAAGGCAACATTTGATTGGATAAAAAAATTAACTTTAAATCATATAAATTGGGTTGCCTACGTCACAGTGACTTGCGTCAAAAACGTATCGGTCCACCTGACGTTACATTTAAAATTTTGTACAATTTGAAGTCATTTTTTTTAAAGGCAATCATCTTTTTTCTTACATTAAATGAATGAAAATTAATTATAAGGAATGAAATTAATAGCTACCCAAACAAACAAACAAAAAAACAAACAGTTTATGCTTTTTTATAAACCGCTCCGCGGTTTATAAAGCGTAAACTGCCCCAACCCACTTCATACCGTATAAATTGGGTAGCTATTAAATTCATTCCTTAAATATTTTAAAAAAAAAAGTAAAAGCTTTCTGTGCTGTTTATCCTGAGTTTCAAATTAAGACGGTACATCATGTACATATTTTGTGGAAGAAACAAAATTCAATTTAAAGATCAAGCAATAGTAAACTGTTTATATTAATTAGCATGATAATAAGAAAGCATGCTGAAATTAAGTTTTAAACTTTTTTTATACATTTACTATGAGCAACATAGTTATAGCAAATAAATTAAGTATACATTAACATCATCTTAAATTGTCACTTAATTTAAACAAATTTTAGCCAGACCATTGATCAAAAGCCTGCCATACCAAAAAGCCAGGAACAATGGTTCAAGAGACAGGTTCTTGACAGCCTGCCTTAAATTTTAATTAGATATATGCAGTCCTTTATAAAGATTATATTGATTTAACAGATTCACCATCAATTTTAGACTATACCATCAGCAGTCAGACTATACTGACTGGGTTGATATATAAATTTTATATGTGATATATGTATTTGTATACCCTCTTTTATCGTAATTCCCATCAAAACCACAGAGCAGACTGTTACCGATCTATATGAACTTGATTATGGATTCGTTACATTATTCTATTGTTAACAGATCTCCTAATATGGTAAAAAATGTGCTGATCAGAAATTCCTATCAAACATCTGTCTATCTCTTTCAAAAATTTATCTTCATAAACAATATATATGTGTTAATTGTATGCTGTACATCAGCACGCACAAGTTGTCCCAAATTCTGGACATCGAATATTAAGTAATAACTCGATCCTCATCTTTATCACAAATCTCGCTTGAAAGTATACACTATGACTTCGTAATTGCATTGCATTCAGTGATGGCAACAAAGTTTGATTTTATTATATTAATTATTCCCTTGAGTTGAAGAGTTCTAATAATTGAGAGACCTGTGTGCTACTTTTTTTGATGTCTATATATGGTGTTGTACACCTCTTCTAGAACAAATTTTGATGAGAAAACATCTTGAATATATTCTTAGTAATTTTTGTGTATTTTTCTTTAAATTATACAAGCATTTTCATCAATTGATATCAATTCAAAACCCCTGGAAATGCATGCTGATTTTTTGTCTACGAACATTTGATGACTCTATAATCTGAAATTATAGAGTCTGTCTACGAACATTTGATGACTCTATAATCTGAAATTAAGAATATCTTGAAAAATTATCAGTAGGTAAGGTATGTTGTGTATGACCTTGATCAACTGTTTAAGTACTACCTGAATATAAAAGCCAAAATGATTTTGTAGATACATAATACCAACAAAGCTAATTCATTATTGTTCCAAATACCCCTTGATCTAAGTCTGCACATAATAAATAGGTATAATAATTTTGTGTATCAGATACATTTTCTTGATGTTCCATGCTATATTTTCAGAAATTCATCTGTTCAAGGAGCTGAAGAACATCACAAAATTTAATAAAAATTTTGCCTTGCAGGCTTTTTAATAAGATAAGAAACTCGATAGAAAACAAATTGAAGATGACATGTTCTCTCTCTCAAATTTTGCTGCAGATATTTCCTAGCAGACAAGAAGACGAATGAACCAATGTACTATGGTAGACGGTTTAAGCCATATGTCCCCCAGGGCTACATGTCTGGTGGGGCGGGCTACGTCCTCAGCAAGATGGCACTCAAGAAATTTGTGGAGAAGGGAGTGGATGATCCAAAGTTTTGTCGGGTGGATGCCGGAGGGGCGGAGGATTTGGAGTTCGGAAAATGTATGCAGAGAGTTGGAGTGACTGCAGGTAAAATAAGCAGGATGAGGTCAAAGGTCAAGGTCACTGTGAATAGATATATATTTCTAGACATCATTGTACCACTTGATGAGTCATTGTGGCGTAGAGAAATGCTCTAGATGAGTTGAGAATCTTTTATGTTGGGCACCATTTTTGTAATGGGAAATCCCGTCATATATAATAGGAAGAAGACCTACTTGTTTCTAATATGTATTTTTCATCATTTTCACAACAATAATAACAACTGGCTCTGGAAACAATATAAAACATACAATAATATTTGAAAGGTACAAAGAAATATAATACTAGATATACAAAGAAAACACCAAAACATTTCTTACGAAAAAATTTACCCTGCATTTTAATATTAAAAATTTAATATTACACTATTATAGAGCTATCAGATGGATTCCACATCTGGCTCTGGGGCCATGAAAGTTAGATGAGTGCACTTTTGATCTCAGTCTCTCTTTTCCACAATTATTCCTTCTGTGAAAATTAGACTGAGATCAAAAGTGAGCTTATTGTCTACGTTTTATGGCCCTGGAGCCTGATCTATAATCACTGTGCAGATATATAATATTCTATGCACATAATTTACCAAGTAACTAATTCATATAATTTCTCATGTATATCTTAATTATTCTAATTAATTTGTTCATCATTAAAAAAAATTGCTTGCCCTCTCCCAACCCAGGATTAAAAAAATTGTGTCTACAGGTAGGGGGAATTTTTTTTTACCTGCTATTAAATTTCAGGTCACCCTTTTTCTGTACATATTCCATAAACGTAGAGTATATAAATATTGAACCCAGCAGCCGTGTTGCGATTTATTTTCAACAATATGTTTTACTACTTATACAAGGCTGTGACATTTATTATTTATTTATTCATTCAAGAGTAATGAATAGTATATTAGAAATGAGAGCTATGGTATTGCCTGCCCTCTAATTAGAATAAAAGTAATAGGCTAAATGCTCTACATCTATAAATGTAGTAATAAGTCACAAGGTATGGAAAAGGTGGTATTATCTGATCAACTCACAAGTCATGATAGAGGAATGGTCATGAGTTCGATAAGGACACCAGGTGGAATTACGTACTGCTTTTGTATAAAGATAAAAATTTGTATCAATGGAAGTTACTGTAAAATTTACTTGTTTACTTTGTTAGATTAAATTTAATTCCAGTTGGCTTGAGTTTTTAAGCTTGCATAAGTTTGGCAATGTACATACCTAATGATTTGCAGCTTCAGTAACTGTTACAGGAGTTAAGAAAAGAAACTAACAAGTCATGTTTACAATGTACATTAAACAGGCAGTAAAGAAACTCTTGTTTGCCAACGACTTGAAAAACAATATTCAAAGACTGAAGATTATGTCAAGGCTTAATTATTCCTGTGTTATCAACTTTTAGTTTGTGCAAAGATTCTGAAAAATATGTACAGAATCTACTTAAATCCCCTGGCTGTTTTCACAATTTGATGTTAAAACCATATGTCACTTTCAGCATTACTTGATTGAGTTTTTAAGTAACAGGCACTTATTATTATGATTGATATTTTTAGGTGACAGCTTGGATAAGCTGGGGCGTGAGAGATTTATGCCTTTTGTACCGGAACACCACTTAATTCCTGGGATCCTCCCCAAAGATATGTGGTACTTCTCTTACAACTTTCACCCAGTGAAGCAGGTAAAAACAAGAGAAAATCACTGAGAATGTCACAATCATAATCTTTTGAAGCAGGTATTTGTTTGTTATGCCCTGCCATGAATATAGCCGGGGCATATAGTGTTTGTCATGTCCGTCTTTCCATCTGTCTTTCCGTCACACTTTGCGTTTAGCTCTGTTCAAAGCTCAGTTTCAAAGAAACTATCCAAGATATTTTTATCAAGCTTCATATGCTGATAGATATTGATGAGAGCTATGCAACTGCATCAACATTTTTTGACCTTAACCTTTCATTTGACCTTGACTTCACTTTCCTTAAATTAGATTTTAGCTCAGTTTTAAAGATACCATTCAAGGTAGTGTAATCAAACTTCATATGTTGATACATACTGATGTAAGCCATTCAACTGCATCAACATTTTTTGACCTTGACCATTCCTTTGACCTTGACCTCACTTTTCTTAAATTAGTGTCAAACTTTATATGCTGATACATACTTATGTAAGCTATTCAACTGCATCAATGTTTTTTGACCTTGACTTTTCCTTTCACCTTGACCTCACTTTTCTCAATTTGTGTTTAACTCCGTTTTTAAGAAAACATTCGTAATATTTTTATGAAACGTCATATGCTAATACATTTTGCTTAATTTTAAAGAAACCATTTAAGATATATTTATGTAAGTTTATGCACTTATACATAATTTGGTGAGAATTTAACATCTATATCCAACTTTTTAGATTTCAATTTCAATTTTAAAGAAGCTATTCAAGATATTCTCATCAAATGTCATACACTAATACAAATTTTCATGTTGCATTACTAATATACCCTCGGCGGGGCATTCATGTCCTATGGACATATTTCTAGTTTTTTATTTATTTACTTCAAAAACGAGTCACTAAATGTTGTAATGGCACAATAAGTGGATGAATTTGCATGTACACAGTTTAATCTTTGGGGTTGGCCTATGTAAAGAATGGAGGTGTACAAGGCGAGGACAATCCCCCACTATGAGACAAATTATTTCTCAATTCAAAAAGTTAATTGAAAAAGTAAAATTTTTCAAAATTTATTTTTCAGTGTAAGCTTTAATTTACACCTTTGATTCCTTATTTCATTGAATTATTTATTGAAAAATAATTTATTTTTCAGTTATGTTTTAAGGTGAAATATCCCTCTGCTCCAAATTTCACCAATTTTTTTTAAATTTCCCAACATTGATTTTCATCAACAACAATAGCATTAGATTCAGATGAAAAACAGTTTGAAGTATGAAGCGTTGCTTTCTTTTTCAGAAATGAATATTATGTCTAATCATGATGTGAAGAAAATTTGATATGGTAAATAGAAAGATCAATAATATTCTATCTCACAATAAAATTAAAAATATAAGGTATATAAAAAATAATATTTGCAATCATACCTATCTAATTCGCATTAGAAAACATAATGAAGCATTGCTTTTTAAATCAGAATATCACATTGTTTCCTGTGCTTGTAAAATAAAATGCATCCATCTACAAGAGTTATCTTTCCATTATTGTTCTTCAAAATATTTTTAGTAAAAAAATATTTTAATTAATTGATTATAAGAATTCTGCATCTGAAATTTCTGTAACAATTAAAGGAATTATATGTTAAGAGATAGAAATATCTCAATCTTCTTTGTTTAATGCAGACCTGTTTACTCTTACGATTTCGCCATATTTTGTACGGATTTTCAGTCCAAAATACGTCTTACGTTTTGCTATAACGAAAATATGGAAGTCCGTTCATATGGATGTTAGCAATTAGTTTTCGTTATCTGTCTCAGTTTTACACTTTTTAATCGCTAAAGGAGAGAAAATTTTCAAACATTTAAGTTGCCAAAACGCGGTGGTTTAAAAAATGACAGAAATCACTCAAAAGAGAGCAGTGTATGACGTTTTGCTTTGTTATTAAACCATGTTTTGGTAATCAGAAATGTAGTTGTTTTCTAGTAATATATGTACAGTCGATGAAAAGTGAAATCTTACAGGCAAATGCCAAATCTCACTGACAAATCTAATGAAAAATACTGAAAGACAACAATTTGGGTAAACAGGTCTGTTAAAGGAACTGAGTATAAATGTTTTAGGTAAACTATTATACATTGTAAGTAATTAATAAAAATATTGGCAATAGAAAAAAGAAATCAATATTTGTACGTTTGATCAGATTGGAATGAGTTGACTGTAAAATGGTCGTCATTATTAAACTTGACAAGACAATTCATTGGATTGCTTGGAATGATTTCCTTGAAAAATTATATCTCTTATCAGAGGGATGTTACACCTTAAGGTATATGAAAAGAAAAAAAAATATGGCCTCATGCATGATTCGAAATCACTTCAAAGAGCAAGAGCCACTTAGGGCCTTTTTTGGCCCTGAGAATTTCTGAAAAATCGAAACTGCTCAGTTTTGGTTGAAAATGCAGTATTTATAACTTGGACCCTTGGTGACCGTGTATCCATTGAACATGACGTAATTTTCTCTCTAGTCAATGCATTATGACGTCATAAAATGCATCATTTTTCCCATATCCTGAAAATTCCCTTAAAAATGGCCAAAAGTTGAGGCATTTTTTCAATATTTCATATAGAGCACAACCTCTGATCCAAAATATGCAATTACATAATGAAAGATCTGTGTCTGAAGATCACAAAACATGTTTTAATTTTTGGATCGTGGGCTGTGCTCATATTTTAATTCTTTGTTGAAGGTAGTCAAATATGCATGTTTTCTACAAAATTCAAGAACATTGCATTTTCTCAAAGCCTGTTTTCCAATACCTGGTTTCTCAAAAAGAAATTTTTTGTAGGAAATGAAAGCACTAAGTTTCTACTTTATTTTGATATATGAAATGGGACAGAGGGTGATAGTCAATTAATTGATATAGGGACAGGGCCATTTTATGCATAAAGTGAACCTAGCTCTTTGGCGGTGAGGCGTAATGTTGAACCACTTCACTACACAGTCTTCTTTTAACTTACATGTAGCTGTGTCTGCAGTGATATTTATACAAACGAGTTTGTTGGAAGTCTTGGAACATGTCATTTTTTTCAGAAAATTTCAATTTTCATAAAGAATGGGTTCAGAATCCATTTCTTTTGAAACATGAAAAAGATTTTACATTGATTTTCCCTTATCATTTAAATGTTTATGTAGAATGGAGACTTGACCCATTTATACATGTATTCAAAAATCATGTTTATTGGCTCTAATAGTCCCATTTTTCACAAAATATGCTTTAACAGTAAACTTATCAGTTAATAAGTTATTCAATAAAACGATTGAATGAAATGTGTTAAAGATGTCATTACTAACAACTGACAATAATTTTTGAAAATAAAACTTTTCCATATATCAGACCTGTTTACTCTTACGATTTCGCCATATTTTGTATGGATTTTCAGTCCAAAATACGTCTTACGTTTTGCTATAACGAAAATACGGAAGTCCGTTCATATGGATTTTAGCAATTAGTTTTCGTTATCTGTCTCAGTTTTACACTTTTTAATCGCTAAAGAAGAGAAAATTTTCAAACATTTAAGTTGCCAAAACGCGGTGGTTTAAAAAATGACAGAAATCACTCAAAAGAGAGCAGTGTATGACGTTTTGCTTTGTTATTAAACCATGTTTTGGTAATCAGAAATGTAGTTGTTTTCTAGTAATATATGTACAGTCGATGAAAAGTGAAATCTTACAGGCAAATGCCAAATCTCACTGACAAATCTAATGAAAAATACTGAAAGACAACAATTTGGGTAAACAGGTCTGATATATAAACTTCGAAAAATTGAGTTAACGGTAAATATTAACTGAGAGAGAGGGATTGGCCTTGCCTTGTACACCCTCATTCTTTAATACATGAAGGTTTTGCTTGAGACAATGAGATAAAAAATTTTCTTTTCAAAGAATTGTTGAACATTATAACAATTTAAGTCAGTTACATTACAGCATGGTAGGATTTCTGTAATTGTATGTGTTTACACAAGAATGTGTATTGTTTCTTTAACAGGGACCAGAGTGTTGCAGTGACTACGCAATCTCATTTCATTATGTGAACCCTAATATGATGTATGTCTTAGAATATCTCATTTATCATCTTAAACCATACGGTATCAACACCATCACCAAAATAGAAATGGAAGACTCCGAACCAGAACCAAAGAAAATGACCAGGGTGGACAAGGAGGTAAAAACAACAGCCAAAAAGACTGAAACTTTAACATCAGTAAAGCAGAAAGAAAATACTTTAGCCCCAACTCCTCTCCAGAAGAAAGGAGAGAACCAGGCAGACCAGAAAAAAACATTGGCACCAAAACTTGACATACCCAAGCCTGGGGGAGAGGGGGGTAACAAACCCTCACGGTAGTGCTAGTGATTGTGTGTGGGTCATGTGACTGGAAGGCTGTTATTTTATTTCTAGTGAGAGTTGGTTTGTTAACATAAATGTGTGCGATTTTAGGGATGAACTTTGGTAAAAGTTGATAGATTTTGTTAATACATATTTTGTTCAGTAAACTGCTTGCCAATGTTAAATATTTTGGACCATTGTTATTGTTTTGAAATATGTGTCATGTAATATAATGTTATTACATGTAGTTGTAGTGCTATCGTAGAGGAGAGTTAATAACCACAGATATGGTATATTGGTCATGTATGTCAAAACCAGAGAATTACTTATTTTTTATACAGAATTTAAGAATAATATATACATGTTTGTAGAAATTGGGCTGTATTTTAGTACTAGTTAGTTATTTTTGAATTTTTGGTAGTTTCACACTGGGTGCACAAGTTGTTTCCCTTTGGTTGCAGTATTGTGTTTTGAAAAACAATCCAATTGAAGTTAAATAGTAAAAACAATATTTAATGGTATTCAGCATTATAAGGAAAGCACAGAGATTGACCAAGTTCCTCAAAAGTCAGAATTTTACAGATGTGTCTTATGAATGTGTTTTTGTTATTTGTTTTCAAAAGACAAAGAGTATTGTAATTTATCGACATATTTAGAGCCATGTTTAGTGATATGTCCCAAGTTAAGTATTATATGTTCATTTCATATGACATTATATAGATTAATTTACATTTAAATTAGGATTTATATATATGTATGTTAACTAGAAAAACATTAGAATTGAAAATAACCATAAACTCTTTGATTTATTACACCCATCGATCTTTGAAAAAAATCAGTGGAGACAATTTAATTGATTATTTAAATGCAGGACTTAAAAAGTTAATCCATTCTTGTTATTTCATTTCTGGAAAAATAACTTGAAAAAAGTATTGTATTAAAATAGTAATGACAGTTTAAATTTGTTGAATTGCTACACTGAATGAAGTATAATTTGAGAAAATTTACATCTATGCTTTTTTTTAAAATCCTGATCATTGCAAAGTAATTTTTTTTTTTAATGTTGAATTTTTGTCTTATTTTTTTTTTAATTATCGGTAAATTTCTTGTGTTGTGAAGAGGCACATTTTTACCAGTTAATGTCTGTACATGTGTACCTGGTAATTTAAATAATTCAGCGCCCATGATTAGTATATTGTATGTAAAGCCTTTTTTGACCAGCTGTGCTCCTTCCCTCTGTCAAAAGTCCCCTGAAAGAAATATGTAATGAAAATTGTCCATACTAATGAATCTCCAGAAAGAACTTTTTTAACATAAACATCTGGAAAAAAGTTTTCTTAAATGATATGTAGCTAATGATATTAGAGATTTTTGCTGTAAGTATAGGCAGATAAATGCATGGATACAACTTCTGCAATTCTCAAAATCATTTGCTATATGTAAAACAATGAAAGAATTCAGGGTCAATGTACCAATAATAGATTGATGAAATACAATGACTTAGATTATTTTTGTTATGATTTCTGTTAAACATATTATGTCATAGCAGTGACTGCCAGGGAATTTATGACTTTACAGTAGCAATGCATCCAAATCTGAAATGGACTATGTTGTAAACACTACCAATGACACCTTGCATTTCTAGTCTTTGTCTACATGTAACTATATGAAGCTTTGTTGTTCAGCTGTAAGTCTTGTTCAATTGTATCTTATGAATGACCATTTAAATTTTTTTCCCTATGTGTTCCTTATAAAATTCACAGACATAACAAGTTTGTAGTCAGACTTACCATCAAATTACCATGGAAATGTTTTGTGACTTCTCTTTGGATAAGTATGTTTTACTTTCTCTTTGTTTTAACTTTCACTTTGGATGGTGTTACTTTCTCTTTGTTATTTTTTTTTGGATGTGTTACTTTCTCTTTGAATAAGAAAGTAGATAGAATTCCATGTTTATTGTGATGATATGCATGTTTTCTGGTAGATTTACTATAATTATGTAATTACTTAGTGTTTCTCATCAATGATAAAGTGAAAATTTAGGAATTCAGTTTTGCACGATGTTAAAAATTTCACAATTTGTTACCAGTATGTATGTAAAACTTTTATTGATGCACCCATGACTGTTTGGTAATCAAAACATACAGATTGTGGTTTCCAAACAAAGAACTAGTCAGTATGATTTAAATTTTTTTTAAACAAAAATATTTTAAATGAGATATATCATAATCAGCATCAAGTACCCAGTATCATCAGTGCAGTCTATATTATTATCAGTACAGTTTATATTGGCATGAAGACCTGTTTTTTCTGTTTCTTGGTTGATCAGGATTTTATTTTCAGAGACCAGGTAGCCTGGATGTATCTAGTGATACAAATGATGCTAGAGTTGTCTTTCAATTGAATTTTGTCAGTTTTTTAAAGCAAAAAAATGTCTCGCATAGGATAAAATGAAATATATAAATATTGATATACAGAGAGAAAACTGCAGTGTGTAAAATTTCTGTAGAGAATTCAGTATACGAGTACTTATGTCTATTACGGAATTTATCTTCAGGAATACCCTTTTTGTCTCAAAAGTGTATAAATTAAATTATTATAATGTATGATTTGTCTACTGTATTCGGATACATACTGTTGTCACTATTGACTTGCAGAAAGGATATGCTGTAAACCGGCCCATATTATTTTCGCCTTCTCACAATTGCAAATTATTTGCAAAATTCGACCAGACAAAGTTGAGCCTATAGGAGATAATGCCGTCTTTTTTTTTTCAATTCACCCAATTTTAAATTTACCTAATTGCAACAAGGGCAAAAATAAAACGGGAACAAAAATTTCTATTTATATATTAAACAGCCATGAATTTATTTTAAATAATTTTATTTTGGCCACAATTATATATTGGACTAGTGGCAGAAAATCTTAAGAACCTAGAATAAGTCCGGATTTATTGTACTTGCAATGTCTTGCTTTTATTACAAATAAAATTTCAATCAGTTATAATTATTAGGATGACTATACCTGTATTTACATTATGACTGATAACCGTCTAATCTGTTACAATTCTGAATGTATTCTGCATATTCAATAAATGAACTATGAAAGACTTTATTAACCTTTTTAGCTCACCTGAGCTGAAAGCTCAAGTGAGCTTTTCTGATCACCCGTTGTCCGTCGTCCGTCCGTCCGTCTGTCCGTCTGTCCGTCCGTCCGTCTGTAAACTTTTCACATTTTCAACTTCTTCTCAAGAACCACTGGGCCAATTTTAACCAAACTTGGTACAAAGTATCCCTGGGTGAAGGGGAGTTTAAATTGTTAAAATAAAGGGCCAAGTCCCCTTACAAAGGGAGATAATCAAGAAAAGACAAAAATAGGGTGGGGTCATTAAAAAATCTTCTTCTCAAGAACCACTAGGCCAGAAAAGCTGAAACCTATGTGGAAGCATCCTTGGGTAGTGTAGATTCTAAATTGTTAAAATCATGACCCCCGGGGGTAGGGCGGGGCCACAATAGGGAATCCAAGTTTTACATTGAAATATATAGGAAAAATCTTAAAAAATCTTCTTCTCAAGAACCACAGGGCCAGAAAAGCTGAAACTTATGTGGAAGCATCCTTGGGTAGTGTAGATTCTAAATTGTTAAAATCATGACCCCCGGGGGTAGGGCGGGGCCACAATAGGGAATCCAAGTTTTACATTGAAATATATAGGAAGAATCTTTAAAAAATCTTCTTCTCAAGAACCACAGGGCCAGAAAAGCTGAAACTTATGTGGAAGTATTCTTGGGTAGTGTAGATTCTAAATTGTTAAAATCATGACCCCCGGGGGTAGGGCGGGGCCACAATAGGGAATCCAAGTTTTACATTGAAATATATAGGAAAAATCTTTAAAAATCTTCTTCTCAAGAACCACAGGGCCAGAAAAGCTGAAACTTATGCGGAAGCATCCTTCGGTAGTGTAGATTCTAAATTGTTAAAATCATGACCCCCGGGGGTAGGGCGGGGCCACAATAGGGAATCCAAGTTTCACATTGAAATATATAGGAAAAATCTTAAAAAATCTTCTTCTCAAGAACCACTGGACCAGAAAAGCTGAAACTTATGTGGAAGCATCCTTGGGTAGTGTAGATTCTAAATTGTTAAAATCATGACCCCCGGGGGTAGGGCGGGGCCACAATTGGGAATCCAAATTTTACATTGAAATATATAGGAAAAATCTTTAAAAATCTTCTTCTCAAGAACCACAGGGCCAGAAAAGCTGAAACTTATGTGGAAGTATTCTTGGGTAGTGTAGATTCTAAATTGTTAAAATCATGACCCCCGGGGGTAGGGCGGGGCCACAATAGGGAATCCAAGTTTTACATTGAAATATATAGGAAAAATCTTTAAAAATCTTCTTCTCAAGAACCACAGGGCCAGAAAAGCTGAAACTTATGCGGAAGCATCCTTCGGTAGTGTAGATTCTAAATTGTTAAAATCATGACCCCCGGGGGTAGGGCGGGGCCACAATAGGGAATCCAAGTTTCACATTGAAATATATAGGAAAAATCTTAAAAAATCTTCTTCTCAAGAACCACTGGACCAGAAAAGCTGAAACTTATGTGGAAGCATCCTTGGGTAGTGTAGATTCTAAATTGTTAAAATCATGACCCCCGGGGGTAGGGCGGGGCCACAATTGGGAATCCAAATTTTACATTGAAATATATAGGAAAAATCTTTAAAAATCTTCTTCTCAAGAACCACTGGGCCAGAAAAGCTGAAACTTATGTGGAAGGATCCTTGGGTAGTGTAGATTCTAAATTGTTAAAATCATGACCCCCGGGGGTAGGGCGGGGCCACAATAGGGAATCCAAGTTTCTCATTGAAATATATAGGAAAAATCTTAAGAAATCTTCTTCTCAAGAACCACTGGACCAGAAAAGCTGAAACTTATGTGGAAGCATCCTTGGGTAGTGTAGATTCTAAATTGTTAAAATCATGACCCGGGGGGGGGGGGGGGGGTAGGGTGGGGCCACAATAGGGGATCCAAATTTTACATTGAAATATATAGGAAAAATCTTTAAAAATCTTCTTCTCAAGAACCACTGGGCCAGAAAACGCTGAAACTTATGTGGAAGCATCCTTGGATAGTGTAGATTCTAAATTGTTCAAACAGGACCTCCCGGGGTAGGGCGGGGCCACAATAGGTATTACAAGGGGGGGGGGATCTGGTAAAGAACAGGATGACTAAAGTTACTCAGGTGAGCGATGTGGCCCATGGGCCTCTTGTTTGATTTTATTGTGAAATGAATAGACTTTGCAGTCATAAATAATTAGCTTTGAGTGAAATTGATATGTATCTAGAAAAATTCTGATGACCATATGTAAAATATTATGACAAGTAAAATAGGAGGGTCATTCAATATGTAGGAAATGTTGGTCGTTGTTATATGTTTACTTCACCTCAATGGAGTTGGGGAGAGCCTATGTTATTATAGCCTCGGCATTGGCATTGTTCCAAGTTAAAGTTTTTGGAGCAGATTTCTTTTCTAGTACTTCTAGGCCCTATATTAATCAGAAATGTATGGACGATGCTTTTAATATGTTTCATTGTACCAGTCCAGGTTTCAGATGGTGCAAATAACCAGGTTAAAGGTTTTGGAGCAGATCTCATTTTCAAGTAACTATAAGCCCTATACTGACCAAAATTGTAAGGATGATACATCTAAGGATGCACAGTACTGGACTTGATTTGGATGCTGGATCTGACCTTTATTTTCTGGATGACTGACCAGATTAAAGTTTTTAGACCAGGTTTGGAGCAGGTTCATTCTAAAGTACATGTAACTAGAAGCCCTTAGGCTATATGTTAACCAAACTTGCATTGATGATACATCGAAGGATGCACACTACTTGACTTGCTTCCGATGCTGGATTTGACTCACATTTTCTGAGTTACAAAGTTTTTAGAACAAGTCAATTTCAAAATAACTGCAAGCCGTAGCAGACCAAAATTGCATAGATGTTACATCTAGGGATGCACATTACTAGATTATTAGTATAGTGTGGAACTTTGCGTTACTTAAAGATAGCATTCGTTGAGATGAGCTCTGTAATCTTTGATTACCTATGTTTAAGAAATATATTAATGACACACCATTTGTAAGCAAAAAAATATTTTCTCGATGCGTTCAGTTTCATTGCATTTGAAAAAATGGGACTCATGATATTTTATTTCAAAATCAAAGCCGTTTCCACTGGAGCGGGGTTCAGACTACGTAGCGTCATGCTACTCTCCATAGATCTACATTTCATACAGTGTAAGGCGCCTTACCCATTTATTCAGAATGTATTCTGCTAAGATAACTTTCATTAAACTTTTCAATTTTGGCACTTCAATTCGATGTATTCATTATTTGAAACAAAATACGAAGTAAAAAAAAATATGAGTTAGTGAGCATATTTTTTGAGACACAAGGCATTGAAAATAGAGAGGGAAACCAGACTTCTTAAGATTTTTCATAGACAATGAATAGAAAATTTCTTTCTCTGAAAACTCATGGTCTTGAATTAAACTTTTCTTTATATTTTTTAGAAGACTATCAAAATTACGAAGATAAAATGCAAATAGATAACAGGGGGCTAGTGGGCCAAAAAAATATGCATAGTTTGATGGATAAAACCAGAAGAGTTCCGTAAAATTGGCTGACTTCTCAGCATGCAGAATACATCCTTCAAAAGTATATATACCACTTTTCACTTAGTTTGCCAACAATTTTTTGACTAATAATATCATGAATAAGTTCGTCATTTTTTTTTATCCCGTACATGTAACTCTGCTTTCACAAGTTCCGCAAATGTGAAGCGCAAATAAAAAAAAAAATCTAAAACTTAAAAAAAAAAAAATCTGCGCCATTTATACACACATGCATGTCCCACTTCTGATGTATTTCCTGCTTTCAGCATTTTCTGAGTTTGTTATATGGTGTTTTCCCGGGTGCAGTTCATGAAATTTTATCGCTACTCGCTGCTCCCTGACGTCCTGCGATCTCACCAATAAGGACAACATTTTTTTGCTGCTTAACAAAGTAATATTTTGCATATGAAATGGTGCAATGATATTCTATTTGGATGTTTAATTTTTATGTTGTTGCTTTTTAGATTGTTTTAGGAAGGGGGAGGGAAGCAACCTTTTGCTCTATAAAGTAATATTTCAGTAATTATGAACACTTAATAAAAGTGGAACAATGAAATTCCAGAAAGTGTAATTCTTCATAAAGGACAAAATTTTAGAGGAGCAATTATTTAAGTTTTTAAAAAACAATAAGAAGGAAACTGAGAGTTAAGTCTCTTGGACAACCCATTCTATATACAGTAATGAAAACTATATTTTTGATAATTAAACTATAAAAGCCTATAAACACTTATGTGATAATATTGAGTTGAAGTAATTCATTTTGAATATAGGACACCTGTTATTCTGCCCCAGGAAAATGCTCAAAGACAATTAAGTATTGATAAACAGCTGAAATGACTCATGCTTCCTGAAATTGGGAAAACACTGCAAATAAATTTTCAGTTGGAAAAATTATCTTCGACTAATATGATGATAAGAGTACTTGAAAAATAACATCTGGTATTAATCCGCAGATTTCAATTTTATCATTTTTTTAAACTAAAAGCAGTGCACAAATGCAAAAAATTATACAATAGAATTGGAACTCTTCAGTATGAAGTGTATAGAGGGTCCTTAAGAAGGAAATATCTCACATAGGGAAAAAATATCTTCCGTATATATATTTGGCTGACAATTTCTTTTACAGGAAGGAGGCTATTTGAATGGATCGGCGAACAAGGCGTGCAAAATATCTATATATAGCTTCAAATGTATGAAAGTCACATATTCAATTTGTAAATTTAAAATTCTTATCACTGAAAGGTACGAAATTAAAACAAACAAAACCTTTCTGCAGAAAATTCGTCAGCAAAAATCATTCCTTGCTTCAAAAAATGTGTTTGGGGGGGGGGGGGGGTTCAAACGCAAGCATTAAAAATTCCCGAGTTTCAACTTTCCTTTCCATTGATTGATTACAGGCCCGAAGAACGCGGGGAAGGGCAGGGGGCCAACTTTTTTT